CAGTCACAAGAAGCTTTAGTTCGGTGATGAATGCATTATTTGCTGACTCATTTAACTGTATGGTATTAGATAGAAATCACACTTAAGTGTGTGGAACAGATTGGCTAAAATGGTACATAGATTCATTCAGCAGTGAGAATCCAAGTAAAGGCACAGAATGAGTTTTTTTGGGACAACAACACAATGCAGTGATAAAAAGTGGCAATTCATGCAAAATAACTGGAGCCACTTTATTCATACTAATGTTTCTTCAGAGTATTTTTCATGAAAGGTAAGCCTTTCAGAAAAAGGACAATATAATTATTTTTTTAAAGAGCTGTGAATTGCAGTGGACCCAATTAGGACAATATTACATAATCTTCATCTGCAGAGGTGTGTTATAATATCTCTGAACAGTTTGAGAAAAATAATCTTGTGACTTGCCTGAAAAGTTGCTGGCATGTTGACATGTTGGTTAAACATTCAAGGTGATATTTGTTAAGATTTTGCCACACCGCTGACCAAAAACCATCATCTTGTGGCAGTGTGGTAAACTATGTCATTCCAGAAATGGCTTGTTCAGTAATTTAAAGTGCAGTAGTTGATCTTATCTGACCTCACCAAAGTCTGGAGGCTGAATTCCCATCATCTCTGCAGATGTAAAGATGCAACCAGGAGAAATTTCAAAAAAAAAAGCAAGGTTAATGGACTAATCTTTATTTTGAAGGGGTCAGAAGAGATTCTTCAGTTTTCCGGAACGTAAATCATACCTCGGTCACATCCCATCCAGAATGAGTTTGTATTAACATCAGGAAAGATGTATTGCTTTGGAAAGGGACACGGTGCAAATGTACAAGAATGATTCAAGTGTGTAAGATTTTATATTGATAATAATTTGCCTAAACATGGCTTGTACTTTGAGATTTGAGAGGCGATATGATTGAAGTATTTAAATGTGTCTGAAGTGTTTTTGTTGAACACTTGAGAAAATGGTGATGAGCTACTTCTCTGAACTGTGGCTGTCCATTGTGATGTGGGTACATGCATCACTGTTAAGGAATGTGTTGTGGTATTTTTATTTTGTGGCAGAAGGTATGGGATATATTTTGAAGTCAGAATAATGTGTGACTTGGAGGGGAATGTGTTATTTATCCATGTGTCTGTCGTCCTGTCCTTCTAGGTGGCTGGGTTTGGAGGCTTGGAAAGTGCATACATCAACATCTTGCACAGAAAAACTTCTTTCTGGCATAGTGCTCTAGAATAAGAGGGAACAATCTTTAAAAGTAGAGTTTGGTTAATCGTTTAAGTGAAATCAGAATGCACTGTTTCATACAAGCACAATGGGCATCTAACATCCTGATATATACTACAGAATTAAACCAGGTTATCTTTGTTTGAGTACTTTGTTTCTTGACTGAAATTGTAAAGGTTTGTAATTGGTTGACAACTGAAAGAAGAAAGCATACTTTGAAAAACTGTAACGTACCATAATTATTGCCTGTAAATGTTAAATGAAGATTTTCTTTTGCTGGCAGGAAATTCGAAATGAATCTCAAGATTTCCCATACAAAGTAGCTAAATATCCAGAAAACCGGGTTCGAAACAGATATAGAGATGTCAGCCCGTGTAAGTAGAATGTTGCAAGTACTTTGCCTTGTAAATTCTACATGGCTTAATCCATGGAGGTGGCTACGCACGTTTTCAGGTGCTTTGGTTACATTAACAGTTAAACTAACATGTATATTAAATACCAGTCAGATGATCTCGTGTTGCATGCACATGGTCAAAACTATTGGGAATAGGTAATTGCTCTAATTCAGTTTCATTTTAAAGTATTCCTTCTCTAAGCATTTTTTAAACTGGAAATTGCCTATGTTTATGTGTTGCAATATAGTTGCATGATTTAGGTGGTGACAGTTGCAGAACGGTGTAATTACAGGATGATGCTGCATAAGCAGTTTGCAATTTGGCTGTGAATGTCGAATTTACAATCGCAAAATTGATATGAAGTCAAATGAAAAAGTAAAGCCTTTTTTAAATAGGCAGTTGATCCTTCTTCAAGCACCCTTGCCCCTAAAAGGTCATGGATTTAAGATCCAGTTTAGAGACTTCACTGTTTTACCATGGACCAATTCCACCCCCCACCTCCCAAAAAAACCCTCTTGATTATAAAATATTCCAAGATGCTATTTGAGGATGAGCAAAGGAATTTTGGAAGAATTTTGGCTGATATTTATACATAAACCACTACCATCACAACACACTTGTTGTGATCAGTTATCTCACTACTGCTTGTGGGATATTACTGTGCATTATTTGACTGCCACTATTGTCTTTGCTACTGGTGTTCACACTGAAAATTCTCTTATTATAACTAAACTGGTCATGATCTTGGGCTGCCCACAGCATTGTACTTTGTTCTTTTGCCTGAATATACCCGATTCCGTAGTTTGAAGTGTCACTGACCTAAAGTGAGCATAAGCTGACATTTCTCCTGTGGGGTTTGCATCCTCAGCCTATGTGTTTGAGTAAACATTTATTCAGGAAAAGTGACTGCATAGTTAATACTGTCATCATTTGCGTAGTCAAGAATTCTGATATTACAAACAAGTAGTTTGACCATGTTGGTTCTGTGTAAATTCCACAATTGTCTGCTGGTTGTAAGGATTTAACTGTTCCAGTAAATGATGTTTTTGGTTAACAATTAATTACCTTGGGACAGGATCCTCAAGGGAGTTGTCAACAATGTCAGGTGAATGCATCTCCTGCTTGTAGTTGTTTCAGTGTGTTACGTTGAACCTTTACAAACGTAAAGAGTTCTAATTTAATAACTAACTCATGCCTAAATTGTTTGAGTGAACCATGAGCATTGTTTGATGGATGCTGCAAACTTGAAACTAGCAGATATCCCAAATTAACACTGCATTCCTATCAATCTGTTTAACACCACTGCCCATTGCCTTGCCCCTTTGCTGATTTCCAGCTGAAAATTTAAACTTCAACTCCACAGAGGCCGGTATCCTGTTGTCAAGTCGCCCTTTATTTACACATGCATTAAACTTGACACTGGTCCAGTTTCTTTAGAGCCAGCTTTGAGTGCTCATAGAGGTTCCTAGAATTCCTACAGTGTGGAAACAGGCCCTTCGGCCCAACCAGTCCACACCGAATCTCAAAGCTTCCCACCCATACCCATCCCGCTAGAATCCACCTAATCTACACATCCCTGAACAGTACGGCCATTCCATCTAGCATGCACATTTTGGGACTGTGGGAGGAAACTGGAGCACCCGGAGGAAACCCACGCAGATGTGGGGAGAATGTGCAAACTCCACACAGACAGTCGCCAGAGGGTGGAATCGAACCCGGGTCCCTGGCGCTGAGAGGCACCAGTGCTAACCATTGGTGCCACCGTGCCGCCCTACGGTGAACAGAACCTCTGACACTCCTGTTTATAATCTGTCAGCCAGGGCTCCCTGATTAGACAGGTTAACAGATCCAAACGGGGAACTAACATTACATGAAGTCCACTTGGCTGATCTTGTTACAATCACTGTATCCCTTCCCCTGTAAGTCTGGGGATGTTAGCCTATTCTTATAGCTTCTCCTCGGGTGAATTTACACCAGGTCTGGTTTCTCTGCCCTGCCTCTGATACTGGCAGCGTGTACCAGACTGTAGCTCGCCTCTTGTGCCCAGAGCTTCGCAGAAGAAATTCATCCTCTTCAGGCAGTTGAGGCTGTGACATCCACTGTGTTCGTCTGAGATTCCAAGGTTTCTTTGGCGCTAGATGGAGGGGGAGAACCCATGGGCTCTGACAGCCCTTCCAGCTGTTCTGAGAGGCTGGGTATGTTTTGCTCCTACCCCATTTCTAAATTTGCAGCTTTCATGTGGTCCATATGCTTGTTCAGGACAGCTTCACCTACCCAGGCGTTATACATCATGGGACCTGACCTCCTGTCGACCACACCTTTTAGCCATGGAGGACCATTCCTGTGGTTTTAGAACCAAACTTCATTCCCTGAATTAAACTGTCTGTTTCACTGTGTCCTGATGCCATGTTAACCTTCCTGCCAGTTCCGGTAAGATCAGGTTTAAGGTGATGCAGAGTCTTCTCCCCATTAGCAACTCTGATGGAACTATCCCTGTAATTGCATGAGGGGTGGTCCAATAGTTAAGCAGGAACTGGGGCAGTTTGGAAGCAAGTGAAGCTGGAGACTGTTTCTTTAAGCCCGCCTCCAAAGTTTGGACTACAGTTTATGCCAGACCATTGAACAATAGATAGTGTGGAGCTTTATGCCGGATGTCATTCTACTTTAGGAAATACTCAATTCCCTGCTGGTAAATGGCCCATTGTCCGTGACCAATGCTTCGGGAGTCCGTGTATTGCAAAAGATGCTCGCAACTTTTCTTTCATTGTCCCTGTTTTTGATGAATAAACTCTATGCATGTCCCACCACTTGGAGTGCGCTCCCATAATGACTAAGAACAGTGAGCCCATGAAAGAGCAGGCATAGTTGATGTGTAACTGAGTCCGGAGTTTACCCACTAATCCCCATGAATGGGGGGAGGGACCTGCTGGTGGTAATTTTTGTCCTTGTTGGCACTGTGGGAACTGCCCCACCAACATGGCTATGTCTGCATCCAGACATAACTTTTTGCCAACATTGTCATTTTGGACAATGACCCTGGTGGAGTTCAGTCAGTATCTGATGGCTTCCTTTTCTCGGGAGAATCCTCTTGCTCCCCATGATAAAATACCATCCTCTATGATGATCGGGTCTCATTGGGTCCAGACACGTTTTAATTCTGGTTGTGATGGCCCTTTTTTCTCCCCTTCTCCTCCCACCCCACCCCCACCCCAAATCACTACCAGCTGTTTATAGTTTTGCCAGGATCAGAACGTCTTGTGTCCGTGGTCTGATGTTATCAGGGGTAACTGGAAAGGTGTCTAAAAAGTTTAAAACCCGAGCGGACTCTTCAATGGCAGCACCGTCAGTGGTGTATCTACTGGCAGAAGGCAGCTAAAGGCATTCACATTTGCTACTTGGCCTCTGGGATGGTGTTTCAACCTGTAATTGTATGCACTTAAAATGAGAGCTCATTGCTGAATTTAACCTGAAGCTATGGGCGGCACGGCCTTGTCCTGTTTGAATAGGCCTAGCAGGAGTTTGTGGCCTGTTACCATTACAAATTAACATCTGTGAAGGTATTGGTGGAACTTTCTCACACCACAGATGATGGTGAAACCTTCCTTCTCAATCTATGTGTGTCTGCGCTCTGCATCAGCCAAAGTCTGGGAAGCATACGCTATTGGGCGTTCCTCTCGATTGGGCCATCTGTGAGCCGACACTACCCTGATACCACGTGGGGAGGCATTGCATATCAGCACCAGATTTTGATAGGGATCATAGTGTGCGAACAGCTTTGACAATGATAGCTGCTTCACTTCCCAAAAGGCTACGTCTTGGGTACGAGACCATTTTCAAGGTTGCCCCTCTTTATCAGTAGCAGACGTCAAGAGTGCTAGGATGGAGGCCAGGTTACATATGAACTTTCCGTAATAAGTCACCAATCCAAGGAAAGATCTAAAGCTCTGGTACAGACATGGGAACTGGGGCTCCTTTGATCGCTGTCACTTTATCTTCAAAAGGGTGTAACCCTTTCTTTCGACTCTGTAGGCCAAGCTGGTCACTTGGGGTGCTGGAACACACATTTTTCCCTTATAAGGTGTATGCTCCCCCTTGGAGAAACATCCAAGGACTGTGTCCAAGTTCGCTATGTTCTCCCCCTGGGTGGGATGCTGTTCGGAGTGTCGGTGTGGACTCGATGGGCCAAATAGCCTACTTCTACAGTGTAGGGATTCTATGAAGAAAAATGACTTCAAAAGTTAATTGTTTGCAGAAACCTCCAGTGGTTCAGTACAGATTCTGTCTTACTGAATTTTGAGTACAGACGAAGATATGAATAAAACGAAATGCAATCTTCAGGCATTTTAGCTGTTTTTATTTTATAAACACCCAAAACAAAATACGTGACTTGCTTTGATCGCACGTGTCTGTGAAGAGTTTATAATGGAAAAGTAACATTTGTTAATAAATTTAAATATCAAATTTGCTTACAATAAATCTTGCAGAATTCAATCCCTCTACATTGTATGGAAGATTTTTGGTAGGATTTTTCAAGCAAAAAAGGCATAACAGCTCTGAAAATCAGGCAAAGGGAATGCATCCTTTATTCTGTATGTCATACATATGTCTGGTTGCTCTGAAATTGTGCTCTTTGCACATGTTTGGAATGCGTGGACCTGTTTAACTATTGAGGCAAGCACATCTAGAGTCAGCACTGACATTTGTGATGAGCTAAGACTCTGACTTTAAGATGTTAATAAAGTTCTTAAAGGACATGGAGAGTGATTTCTGCTGTATTATTGTGAAATATACTAAATTTTTTGTGTAAAACCTTATTTTGAACATTCGAAATTTTCATTAATGAGCTGAGAAACGATGAACATCATTCAGGATGTATTTTGAATAATTAAATTATCAACATGTTCTGAGGAAGCGTCACTGGATCTGAAATGTTAACTCTGGTTTCTCTCCAAAGACCTGCTAAGCTTTTCCAGCAATGT